CGACATAATAAAGGTCTTGTTAGAGGATGAAAGCTTGCACGAACATATCTATTTTATATTGTGAAATGATATTGTAAGATCAATCTCAAGTAACATTGAGAATTCACAAAAGAACTATGTTGAAAGGTATTGCAAGTTCTCTAGCATAAAGATTTATACACTAGGAGATATTGAATCACTARTGAAGATAAACTCATTGTCAATAGAGGCCCCTTGAATAATAAAGTAAAATAAAAAAAAAATTCATGCTTAAAGTCTATATGCTTCCGTTGCAGTATTCATATCAAGAATGAAAGGCAATTTTTGATAACTATTAATTGGATCTAAAGAGTTATAAGGTGTTAAAAAAAAAGTTGCATGCTCACTCATCATAATCATATTAATTAGAGATCATAAGACTATTTGATTTTGATAATTTGAGTTGTCATCTAGATCCACCTTTGAGGCTATATTCACTAATATGTTAAAGGATACTAATATCTCATGGTAGAGAGTCACTTTAGTCCCTTTCACCACTAAAGTTTGTGTTTATAGCATTTTGTATGTGGCAACGAATTTAAGAATATGGTTATCAAATTTTGTGATTATGTTATTTTGACAAAGATTTGTATTTTTCCATATTACAACAACAAAAGCTTTTGTATGAATATTTAAGCTTTAGTTGATAAAGAAAATTCAGAGTTTTTTTTTTTGTTTAAAGAAATGCAACTCCATCATTGCGGATCCGCTCATTAAGAATTTTCACAAAAGTTTTACGAGCATAATGCTCATATAGATGTGAAAATTATGGTATGTCAGTTGASTGGKWGTTTGTATTTTCTTAAATTAGACATGTTGTTTTTCTTTTCTGCAGAATAAATAAGATAATTTATTTTGTTACTCTGAATGATTTTTTTCTAAATGTAGTTTAACATAAAGCTAGAAAGCATAAATTTGGATCTCTTTAAAGAATAAAGTTGGACCAGTTGAGAATAGACATGTTTAGATCACATTACATGTAATTCTTATGCTGCTCTTCCACACTTGATTCATGTCATTGAGTATATTTAGTGTGGTGATCATTGAAGGTTGAGTCGTGATTATACATGTAACAACAGCCGCTTTGGTTCTTCATCSATATACGAGATGGACCRGATTGTTATTAAAGGGAAATTTATTTTAATAGCATTGAGATGTGCACTAAAGAACTAAATTAATATAATTGTCAATAAAGAAAATTGTTACCCAAGTGGGAGATTGTTGGAATTAATTTAATAATTAATTCATATGTGGGTAACACATTAAAGAGAAATTATATTTGGGCTATTTAATGGGCATACAAGTAATCTTAATTATGGGCCCATGACTTCCCATTTAGTGGTGTGGCTTGCTGAGTAGAAACTAGCTCATTAATCTGAGAGGATTATGRGAAACCCAAATAGAGAGTATTGCCCATATTTGGTCTAGGTTGCATAGTTGAGGAAGACCACAAACCACAATTTCTTGCTGATSGTGGTCAATCTATCTAATGGTTTCAGGTAATTCTAATCTCTTTATAGATTTTGGTTTTCTTCCATGCTTAGATCTTTGGCTTTGATTGTTCTGGAATTTTATGGCTTTTATTTTAGAATAATCATGAATTAGGATTTGTTTAAAATTTCCGACATAAGAAACTGCCGTATACTTGAAGAATAAGATTTTACCTTATTCAACCTCAATCTCATGACAAGAAGAAAGGAAAAAAKAAAAAAGAAAAAAGAAAAAAGAAAATAGCCACATATACATATATATAAATCAAAGTTTGGTCTTGATTTTTGAAGAGTGGGAAAACAGAATCTGGTTCAGTGTCTCTATTTCATTTCTAAGTATAAATGTTTCTTTGCAAGTCTAAAGATCCTATCCCTACATCATATTTTAACTTTCCAACAGCCGCACTGCACGCATGTTTCACGTGCATGTTAAGAAATTATATTTCTTTTCTTTTTTCTGACAATTTATACAAAATAAAGAACTCCATTTTTTYCTTAAATATCATTAAGATAATGCCGATATAATATTTGTGATTTTTCTCCCCTAAACTTGATAATGTGGGGTTTAATAGTCAATATAATAATAACATCATCATCTTATTATATTTCACTACAAACAAATCAAGAAAAGATGTTGGTTTTGAAATATTTACGGCTATCATTTGATTTTATTTTTTCCTTTTTGGGTAAAATATGTTTTTGATGCTCGAGATTTGGGCAACATGTCGATTTCATCCCTGGATTTCAAAATTTTGAAAATCGTAAAATTTAAAAAAAWAATAATAATAAACTCTATCCCGCTCCACCACCCACCCCGCCCCCTTACCCATGCTTCATTTGGGACCCTTTCCTTCTTTCGTCTCTTCGAACCACTGCCATCCATCCCACCGGTACTCTCGTTTTCTCCTCCTTCCTCCTGCCGCTCCATCTCTCTCGTTTTAATAAATTTTACGAGCTGATATACGGTAGAATCGCATAAATGATATAAATTTGGAGGCGTGAATGAGAAATGACCCGATCTTATAAAATTTTTGTTATTCTCAAATCAGTGWCATCATCCTATCGTTACAARTTACTTTCTATGCCCTTCATTTATTTCTTTTAGTTAATAGCGATAACGATAGTGATAGCGAACAATGATAATAGYCATAGTTTATATTAGCAAAATACTTCAAATTTCATATCATAGCAATAACAATAATGATAGAGATAACGATTTATAATAACGGTAACGGTGGCAATAATAAAGGTAGCGATGGCAATAGTTTTTGAAAAAAGCAATAGTTTATATTTGCAACGTACCTTTTTTTTTCTTTTTCTTGATTCCTTATTTTTCTCTTTCAAATATTCCTTATTTATTCTTTCAAAATTTTCAACTCTTGATTCTTTATTTATCTTTCCATTCTATCTCTATCTTTATATTTATCTCTACCTCTACCTATATCTTCTATACTTGTATCTCTACATCTACTCAATTTTTCTCTTTCCATTTTTTTTTTCCAACTCGAGATAGGATGTAGATGTACAAGAAAAATAAAATTAAAAAAATAATTAAGAAAACGTGAAAGATAAGYGAAAATTTGGTATTTCGAGTTGGTAAAAAAATTAACTCAAGATTTTGATTTTAAGACCAATGAAAAAAAATTAAAGTTAACAAATAAAAATGAAATAAAATTAACCGCACAAAAATTATGTTATTATTTGTAGAAATCYGAGAGATTCGAGTTGGATAAGAAAATTTTGAAAATTCTAAGCTGGCTAAAAAAATTAACTCAATAGAAAACAAAAAAGAAAAAATAATGAAGAAATACTTCAAAGGAAAGGGGCAAAATGTAATTTCACAAAGGATGACATAAGCAAAATGGTAGAATAACAAGTTTCTCAAAAAGTGTTCATATCTCATTGCCGAGGTCAACGATAGGTTGTTTAGCACAATTTCCTCCTTCATCTTTGTTTTAAATTAGCTAATGGAAACTTAACACTAGGAACTAAAAGTGAATATTTTCAAAACTTTAGAACTTCAATGGTTCGATTTTGAAACATAGAGGTGAAAGTGTCTACCTCATAGACCAAAAAGAAAGAGAGAGATATATATATATATATATCACCTTTTTCCTTTCTTTTTAATAAAAAGCCAAAAAAAAAAAAAATTGATAGATACCTCATCAAATACTTTTGGACGACATTTGATATCTCGTCGTGACACGCCTTCTTTTTCAAATTACTTTTTCTCGCTATGCTAAACTTATCTCTACACACTGAATTCTATCGACGTGCACCTCTCACTATACTCTCCAACACATTTTCCCTCTTCCTAACTTTCTTTTCCACCTTTCCACCTAATAGAAATATTTGCCCAGAATGTACTTTGCCATGGAAGAAGACCTTTTGAAATATTATAACCCAACTCAGAAAAAGACCACCAAATAACAAAGTGTTCTATTACTTTACTACACACTTTTTATTAAAGTAGTTATGTATTCTCGATTGTTTGCATTACACCTTAACAGTTATCTTACTTGTGATGTTATACTTACTATAAAACAATTATAAACAAACGTTGCAGGCTTCTACCACATTGAAGAAGGATTTTCTTTTTCTTTATTTTTTATTTATTTATTTATTTAATTTTTTTTTGTTGGAGCTTGATCGGGCTACCTTTCAAAAAATTTAGTGAGCGAAATTCCATATTAAAATTATGTCAAAGGTACACGAATAAAATGAGTATTTGCAGCCTAAATTTACAAATACTAATATGTCAAGGGAAAAATATGATCCATGTTTTCTTCCTTTCTGTGCACATTCCTAAAACCTAAATAATATCACAGCACACAAAACAGAAAACATACTCTATTAATAAGATACGAACTTTCCATGAATAAACAAGGTATATTTTAGAGCCATCGATTCAATAAATTCGTGCCTACATCCACTCAAGACCTATAAACCGAGCGTTACAATCGCAAAAGTTTACAAGAAGAAGAAATGCTAACAACAAAATTAGTTACATCCTAACAACAGTTGAGTAATTGGGTTCAAAATGTAGCATCCATGATCCAAAGTTCCTGTCTATAGAAAGTGTATAATATGAGTATAAATTGAAGCGAAATCATAAAAAAAAAGTGGCTTTCTTAGGAGGTGAGTGGGAAGAAAAAGCAAGATGCTTTGTATTTATTAATTTGGCTGAAAATGTGAATCAGATACAACAATCCAAGCAATTTCCTATACAGGCAAACCTTTTGTTTTACCCCAAACAAACAAGGGAAAAAGGAAAAAGGATCAGTTTGCAAAAATTCAAGATATTTACAGATTAATAAAATTTCCCAAGATGTTGTAT